GGCTGCCCCTGGGGCCCCCACCCCTGCAGAGGGAGGGCCCAGGCCCTTCCTCACAGCCCACCGTCACTTGGGTCCCCCGGCTTAGGCACCGCGTGTTCTGAAGCCCCCGTGTCTGAGCAGCAGGAGCCACCCCCGAAGCTGGGGCTGCAGACACAAGGAAGGGCAGGCCTGGGAGCTGACATGGAAGGGGACGACGCCCTGTCTACTGGCTCCTCTGTGGGGGAGGGACAGAGGCAGGAGCCAGGGCCACCCTGTGCAGGTGCGTCCATGCCTCCGCAGACTGTCCCATCCTGAGAGGGATATTGGGGAGAGGCCACAGTGGCCAGGAGACAGCCCGGTGTAACCATGTGTTGTAGGAACCCCCCTCTAGGGGGGACCTGCACAGCGGGGGCTAGCCAGTACCACAACGCCTCTTGGGCCAGGAGCCCCTTCCCAAACGTCATGATTTAATTCACAATTTAATCACACCAAGGAGTCAGGCTGCTTAACGGGGCCCCGAGAGAAAGAACTTTAGAAAGCTCGTCTCTGCAGTCGGGCTGGTTCACGAGGACTCAGGCTGGCCCAGAGGGTGCCTTGGGTGCCACCTGCTGGTCAGAGGGGAGCCAAACAGAACCTCCTCCTGCCACCCCGGGTACCTCCTTCAGACCTGCACACCCCTCCTACAGCCCGAGCCTCCTGCAGATCTGGGTACCCCTCTCCTTCAGACCTGATCCCGTGTCAGCCCCCGCCCCCCTCCTGCAGCTGAATCATCTCGGCCCCGCCCCCGGACCCGCCCACCTCCTGCAGCCGAATCATCTCGGCCCCGCCCCGGCCCTGCCCACCTCCTGCAGCTGAATCATCTCGGCCTCCATGCTCTTCAGCTTCTTCTCGTTCTCCTTGGCCTGCGCCAGGATCTCCTCCCGTGAGGCACGCGTGTCATCCAGCTCCCGCATGTAATCCTTCATCTGGGCCTGGGGGTCGGGCAGAGAGAGCTTGGAACCAGCACCCATATCCCACCCGAGCCACCACCCTCCATTCCCCACCAGAGCACAGGGGCACAGGGACTGATGGGACCACTCCTGCCGGCTGACGTTGAGGGCAGAGTCCAGCGACAGATGGCCCGACTTCAAAGAAGTCGGACTGTAGGAATTGGTTGCCGGAATCCGCTCACAAATTGTTTTGTTGTTGCCGCTATGATTTCTGGAGTATGTGTATGTTTTATCCCGGACCATGTAAAAATGAAACCGTTATTGTCACTATGAGCAATAACGAGACCACGAGGAGTAATTCAGGGGAAATCACAGTACCCATAAAGAGAAGGGAGGCAAATGATAGAATGACTGAGTTAATTATCAAAGCCATACAAGGGAATGAGGATTTTGGTATATTTATGGAAAAATGCAAAAGTTAGAATTGGAACAACCCCAACTGACTACAGTAACTCCCGAGAAGTTCCCTGTGACTGCCTTTCTGGGAAAGAGTGCCAAAGATAAAAAACAACCTTTGATTCACTCAGTAAAAC